TTAGTTTTGATTAGTTTTTCCAATACTTTCACTATTACACTTGTCAATGATACAGGTCTATAAGTAAGGGGGTCTTCCCTGCTGCCACTTTTGTAGATTGGAACTATGTTAGCCTTTTTCCACACATCAGCTACAATTCCTGTAACTCCTGTGTGGCGGCCACTCCTCATTGCTTTTTGACTCACCATACCAACTTAGTGGTGCGTTATGGTGACCAAAAAAAAAAAAATACAGTACTTATTTATAATCTATGTATACATGTAATATCAGCAAAACTATTTGTTTATTGTTTTATGAACATAATATTTGAATCACTAATATGCACACCATAATTTTGAGTATAGCGATAGTTCATAAATTTAAAAAAAGCTTCATGGTCCCTTAACAGTCTGGTTGACCAGACCACCAACCTCCAGGAGGTTGGTCAGACCGGGCCGCAAAGAGACAGATCCCCGGAACCAGCACTAGGCTAACAGTTTGAGCCATTCATAACAGAGGTCATTACAATTCAGAGATGACATCTCTGTCAGCGAACATAATGTTAAACTAGCCAAACACAGGGTACTTCACCTGCTGGGTAGCCTGAAGCACCACCTGCTGTCAGCGAACATAATGTTAAACTAGCCAAACACAGGGTACTTCACCTGCTGGGTAGCCTGAAGCACCACCTGCTGTCAGCGAACATAATGTTAAACTAGCCAAACACAGGGTACTTCACCTGCTGGGTAGCCTACCTTGAGGTTACCTTGAGGTGCTTCCGGGGCTTAGCGTCCCCGCGGCCCGGTCGTCGACCAGGCCTCCTGGTTGCTGGACTGATCAACCAGGCTGTTGGACGCGGCTGCTCGCAGCCTGACGTATGAGTCACAGCCTGGTTGATCAGGTATCCTTTGGAGGTGCTTATCCAGTTCCTGGAGCAACATCTGCTATATAAGATCCCAACGAGCCACTTCTTGTAAAGGCACAAGAAAATGTTACCTCTATAACTAACCTTTATCTTAAAAACTACAAAACATGCATACAAAATGCAAATTCTATAACTTCTCTGCCGTCATAATTTTGGTGCATAGTAAAATGCCATCGGAACACCTTCATGAGATTATAATGTTTACTGTGTAGCTTCACTGAGCACTAAACCCAAATGTGGGCCGCTCCAAGCAACAGCCTGGTGGACCAAACTCTCACAAGTCGAGCCTGACCTTGGGCCGGGCTTGGAGAGTAGAACAACTCCCAGAACCCCATCAAGCAGGTACCGTTAACTGAAGCACCCAACCATCATATTTCAGGTAACTGTTGGGTTTATCCAGGTATCAACCAGGTATCAATCAGGTGTGGCAGGCTGTAACCAGAGTATGCTTGCCTCCCACACCAAATACAGGTATTTACCGTCTTATATACAAATAACCATTTCATATACAGTTTATACATTCTAGGTTTTGTGTACATATGAACACACACACAGGCATGGATATATTTCAACTAATAATAATGATAATTCTAATTATTCATTGTCGGGGGACCAGGCAGCCAGTATATACATGTAGTTCATGTTAGACTAATATTGATGACCCCCTCCCGAGGGTCTAATTACCACTCCCCCATTCCCCCAGACTCAACACCCACAACAAGCTGACTAACTCCTGGGTACCTATTTACTGCTAGGTGGACAGGGACATTAGGTAATAAGAAGCGGGCCTCTCCATTTCTGTCCCGCCTGGGATTCAAACCCAGAATTCTCAACTGTGAGTCGAGGAATGAACCCCGACTCTACTACCGGGACCTGTAATATACAGCACCCTTTAATGATAAACAATGGGTCGTAACTAACTCAAAGTACTTCCAAGTCATAGTCAACAAAACTTACATTCCTGTACAGTACCTTGTAATACACACGCACCCAACTATTGTATAACAATTGTTCTACAAGATACGCAGACACACACACACACAGTTGGTGAGCAACAACGTGGAAATGCTAAAAGAGGACCCAATAATTACATACAAAATTGTGCATACAAAACATTAAAAAAAATCCATATACATACCATTTCCTGAATGAAACTACCCGTATCCATTTTTACCCGGTAAGACAGTCGTCAGCGGCAAGCAACGCACCGGCGCAGGCCTTGTCATCCTGGACGAGTCAAATGTCCAGCAGGAACACAGGGTGAACACTATAACCACCCAACCAGGGGTACTCCTGGGGTACTGTACAGGTCCTGGGGTACTGTACAGGTCCTGGGGTACTCCTAGGGCACCATGCAGGTCCTGGGGTACTCCTGGGGCACCGTGCAGGTCCTGGGGTACTCCTGGGGCACCGTGCAGGTCCTGGGGTACTCCTGGGGTACTGTACAGGTCCTGGGGTACTCCTGGGGTACTGTACAGGTCCTGGGGTACTCCTAGGGCACCGTGCAGGTCCTGGGGTACTCCTGGGGCACCGTGCAGGTCCTGGGGTACTCCTGGGGTACTGTACAGGTCCTGGGGTACTCCTGGGGTACTGTACAGGTCCTGGGGTACTCCTGGGGCACCGTACAGGTCCTGGGGTACTCCTAGGGCACCATACAGGTCCTGGGGTACTCCTGGGGCACTGTGCAGGTCCTGGGGTACTCCTGGGGTACTGTACAGGTCCTGGGGTACTCCTGGGGCACCGTACAGGTCCTGGGGTACTCCTGGGGCACCGTACAGGTCCTGGGGTACTCCTGGGGCACCGTACAGGTCCTGGGGTACTGTACAGGTCCTGGGGTACTCCTGGGGTACTGTACAGGTCCTGGGGTACTCCTGGGGTACTGTACAGGTCCTGGGGTACTCCTGGGGTACTGTACAGGTCCTGGGGTACTCCTGGGGCACCGTGCAGGTCCTGGGGTACTCCTGGGGCACCGTACAGGTCCTGGGGTACTCCTGGGGCACCGTGCAGGTCCTGGGGCACAGTGCAGATCCTGGGGTACTCCTTGGGCACTGTACAGGTCCTGGGGTACTCCTGGGGCACCATGCAGGTCCTGGGGCACCGTGCAGATCCTGGGGTACTCCTGGGGCACCGTGCAGGTCCTAGGGTACTGTGCAGGTCGTGGGGTACTCCTGGGGCACCGTGCAGGTCCTGGGGTACTCCTGGGGTACTGTACAGGTCCTGGGGCACCGTGCAGGTCCTGGGGTACTCCTGGGGCACTGTGCAGGTCCTAGGGTACTGTACAGGTCCTGGGGTACTCCTGGGGCACCGTGCAGGTCCTAGGGTACTGTGCAGGTCGTGGGGTACTCCTGGGGCACCGTGCAGGTCCTAGGGTACTCCTGGGGTACTGTGCAGGTCCTGGGGTACTCCTGGGGCACCATGCAGGTCCTAGGGTACTCATGGGGCACCATGCAGGTCCTAGGGTACTGTGCAGGTCCTGGGGTACTCCTGGGGCACCGTGCAGGTCCTAGGGTACTGTGCAGGTCCTGGGGCACTCCTGGGGCACCGTGCAGGTCCTGGGGTACTGTACAGGTCCTGGGGTACTCCTGGGGTACTGTACAGGTCCTGGGGTACTGTACAGGTCCTGGGGTACTCCTGGGGCACCGTGCAGGTCCTGGGGTACTCCTGGGGCACCGTGCAGGTCCTAGGGTACTGTGCAGGTCCTGGGGTACTCCTGGGGCACCGTGCAGGTCCTGGGGTACTCCTGGGGTACTGTACAGGTCCTGGGGTACTCCTGGGGCACCGTGCAGGTCCTGGGGTACTCCTGGGGCACTGTACAGGTCCTAGGGTACTTCTGGGGTACTGAACAAGGTCCTGGGGTACTGTGCAGGTCCTGGGGTACTCCTGGGGTACCGTGCAGGTCCTGGGGTACTCCTGGCGTACTGTGCAGGTCCTGAGGTATTGTGCAGATCCTGGGGTACTCCTGGGGCACCATGCAAGTCCTGGGGTACTCCTAGGGTACTGTACAGGTCCTGGGGTACTCCTGGGGTACTGTACAAGTCTTGGGGTACTCCTGGGGTACTGTGCAGGTCCTGGGGTACTCCTGGGGTACTGTACAGGTCCTGGGGTACTCCTGGGGCACCGTGCAGGTCCTGGGGTACTCCTGGGGTACTGTACAGGTCCTGGGGTACTCCTGGGGCACCGTACAGGTCCTGGGGTACTCCTGGGGCACTGTGCAGGTCCTAGGGTACTGTGCAGGTCCTGGGGTACTCCTGGGGCACCGTGCAGGTCCTGGGGTACTGTACAGGTCCTGGGGTACTCCTGGGGCACCGTGCAGGTCCTGGGGTACTCCTGGGGCACTGTGCAAGTCCTGGGGTACTCCTAGGGTACTGTACAGGTCCTGGGGTACTCCTGGGGCACCGTGCAGGTCCTGGGGTACTCCTGGGGCACCATGCAGGTCCTGGGGTACTCCTGGGGTACTGTACAGGTCCTGGGGTACTCCTGGGGCACCGTGCAGGTCCTGGGGTACTCCTGGGGCACTGTACAGGTCCTAGGGTACTCCTGGGGTACTGAACAAGGTCCTGGGGTACTCCTGGGGTACTGTATAGGTCCTGGGGTACTGTACAGGTCCTGGGGTACTCCTGGGGTACTGTACAGGTCCTGGGGTACTCCTGGGGTACTGTACAGGTCCTGGGGTACTCCTGGGGTACTGTACAGGTCCTGGGGTACTCCTGGGGTACTGTACAGGTCCTGGGGTACTCCTGGGGTACTGTACAGGTCCTGGGCTACTCCTGGGGTACTGCACAGGTCCTGGGGTACTCCTGGGGTACTGTACAGATCCTGGGGTACCTCCAGGGCCTAGTGCTCAGCACAACCGCTGTCACTGCTCAATACCAAACAATTCTTCACAAACATTTTGATCCTTCTTGTAGTGATTAACATTACATAACTACCAACTCCTTTCTAACACTATTTTAACTATTTAATATCACGTCTTCTATAATTCGATAAATATTGATTTAACTTAAATTATTGGCCAAACAATTGAAATGTGTTGGTGTAGAGGCAGGTTATCCCGGCACAAGAGCTGTCGAATAATGACCTTTAGGGGGAAAATTACCTCGTTTAATTTTGCAGGCTAATCCATGAGGATCATGTTCAAGTTTTAAAGTAACTGGCTCTGCATATTTATTTGTTCGGTTACCATCCTCGTGCCAAATATACACTGTGACCTTCTCGAACACCCGACACGACGCCATTTTTCCTTGAACTTTAATGGGGTGACATTTATCAAAACTGAATGAAAATATAATGTAATTTGTAACATGTATTATTCTACATCATCTCATAAATTTACAAACGAAATATGAATAATTTTTTTCTATTGGATGACGATGCATATTTAATAGCGAACTCGTAAAATATTTATTATGGTGTAATGTGAAAGAAGTATATTAGGTAGGCTCGTTTGGATGAAAGCTTCAAAATATACAAAGACGCAACAAAATAGTCTGAGCTAGCGGGCGAGCTTCGTCCCCTGGGCCGCCAGCTGGCCGGGCTCCGGGCTCCAGGTGCTCTTGTTTACTTTGTCTCGCCTCGCTTTCTTACACTAAACAAACATGTTAACGGACGACGAGTTGTCCAGGTAATGTCTTCTAATGGTGCCCAAATCTTAACTTAAGCTCCATATCTTAGTATTATGCTGAATGTTGGATGAACACGAGTGAAACTTCACTTGTCAATTGGTTAGGATGTCAGCTAAGGTAGTGTTTATTTATTTATATATACAAGGTTTGTTACATTCTTGTACAGGCACTAACACGCGTAGCACTTCAGGCAGGTCTTTAATCTTATTTTTTCCCCGCAATACGACCCGTCAAATCGTTTAACAACTAGGTACCCAATTTACTGCTGGGTAAACAGAGGCTACAGTTAAGGATTGGCACCCAGTCAATCCTCCCCGGGCAGGATAAGAACCCAGGCTAAAGTGCTCGCGAAGTGCTGGACGAGTGTTTTACCACTGCGCCACGATGTCTGTGGGCCCCGTGAGCAAGGGTTGCCAGATCTGAATTGCTGAAAGTAGCGAGGGAGGGAATTATCAAGGGAAAGCGCCAAGCCATTACAACTATATAGCACTTGGAAGGGGGTCAGGATAAGGATTTGGGATGGGACGGGAGGTAGGAATGGTGCCCAACCACTTGGACGGTCAGGGATTGAACTTGCATGAATCGAGACTCGCTCAACCGTCCAGCCCAAAAAGTAGCGAATTTGTATTAAAAAGTACCCCAATATTTTGTTTTGTGACTGATCTGGTTTTCAAGGTAATGTATTTTAATACATAGAGTACACTACACGGTTTTAATGATTTTATTAATATTATGGCTGCATGCATTTAATAAAAAAATGCTATAATAGGATAACTTGCCAATATTTGCTGCATGAAAGATAATTGTGTGTGTCCCTCCACGCCTTCACAATTGAACAATGTTTATTATTATTAGTATTATCACGAAATTCTTCTGCATCCTCAACCTCATTCTTGTATATTGCAGAATCATATTTTAGCAAAGACATGGATGGTTAGGTTTTAATAGGTGTTGGATATTGTCAGGGGAGGTGAGTGAAGATGTGTGTCCCGCACAGGATTGGTCAGGCCTAGTGTCACGGACTTAGCTAGCCTCGACCCAACCTTTGTACCATTAATACAGTACCTCATCTGTTCATTACTATGTATTCCTTATTCATTTTAATAGTTTGCTATTTCATTTGTATTATTATTTGATGTACACATCTATGTAATTGTTGATATGATACAAAATAATATTTTTCCGTGACTTTGAATTGCATCTGCAGGGAGGGTAGCAGGGGTGAGCAGTGAATAGACTGGAAGTTTGTCAAATGCTTCCAAGCCACAAGTTAACTGAGAGATGTTATTGTCAATTATCGCATTAGCTGTAATTTGTGTGTATTGTTGGTTAGATGTCATACTGGAGCAAGCATAATACTGAAGATTGTGGCACATTTGAAATAGTTGGAATTCGTTTCCATTTGAGAAAAATTTGAGACGTGTTGCCCTTCTAGCATAACAAAGCAACCATCAGCTGACTGGCGTTGTACTTGCCTATCAACCCAGATTTAAGTTCAAGTAAATTTATTGAGATAATGAAATACATCTCAAAAAGATAGAGTAGCTTAGACTATTTCTACCCTCGTCTATTTAAGGTCCCTCAAGGGGGCTCATAAATTCATACAGTACACAATGATTCATCATATATATAATGAGATAATGAGTATGGAAATCAACTTAGAGTACTGGGGATAGACTTTCAGAGAAACATGTAGCTTCGGTGATTAGATTGATGAAAGGGGGGGATCTAAGGCATTATTCCTCTCGCTTCAAGAGGTTAAAAGAAATGTACAATGCATGTTAAAATATAGAATAAGAGAGCACGTATGAGATCCTTATGTTCTAATGTTACAATGTATGATGCCATTCAAGAATGTATTGCTATTCTAAAGAAACTATTAACACCACCATCATGGGCCGAATGTATCGTAGATGTAGTAATTATTCCCTCTATTTTTTTCTGTGAGTTTTCAGTCACTGTTTCAGTCACAAACAGTCATTTGTCACTGTCTAATAAATCACTGAGAAGCCATATCCTCTTGGATACAAACTAACTTTTTAACTTCATCTTGCTCAACATTTGTGCACCCACTACAATCAAAGGAAATGCTACAACTATGTCTTTAACTTTGCTTTGTGTAAACTATTTCTCCTAAGCTTTTGTTTCAACATTTTCCACCACACTGGGTTGAACACTGCCATCGTAAGTGGATTGTTCATTTTCCCCGAGATTCTCTCATCAGTAATACTCCATACCTTGAGGTGCTTCCGGGGCTTAGGGTCCCCGCGGCCCGGTCGTCGACCAGGCTTCCTGGTTGCTGGACTGATCAACCAGGCTGTTGGACGTGTCTGCTCGCAGCCTGACGTATGAGTCACAGCCTGGTTGATCAGGTATCCTTTGGAGGTATCCATCCTCGTCCTTACTTTCTTCCTCCCTCCGTTTCACTCCCAACTACACCCCATCTGTTTACCATAGCTAATTTTTCTAGAGCTGCAGTCCTCTTATCCAACTTTTTGAGGTATTCCAAGATATGTGTACCAGCCTCAGAATTCACAGTATTACCCCTGCACCTTATTACTGTACCACGAGGATACACTTTCCTGGGGAAGGGGGGAAGCCCCATCAGCTCTCTGAAGCTATTTTACTGATCAAGTGCCATACTACTTGAGTGTCATTAGTCCCTTTGTAAGTCTACCCCAAATATCCCTAAAGAAGGAATAAGGAATAGGAGCACAAGTCCCGCCAAACCCCAGGCAGCGGGTGTCCCCGCTAAACCCCAGGCAGCAGGTGTCCCCCCCCCCCTCCCCCTGGCAGCAAGTGAACCCAACCCCCAGGCAGTGTGACGGAGGTGGGATGTATGGTCATCTCCCTGAGGCAGGGGTGAATAACAACCCTCAAAGTCATCCAAGGCGAGAGGAAGCCCGGAAGAAGTACTGTACTGTAGTACAACTGAGCCCACCAGCATTTTCCAGGGCCCATTCCTGCCTGCCTCCTTCCCTGCCTGCCTCCTTCCCTGCCTGCCTCCTTCCCTGCCTGCCTCCTTCCCTGCCTGCCTCCTTCCCTCCCTCTTTCCCTGCCTGCCTCCTTCCCTCCCTCTTTCCCTGCCTGCCTCCTTCCCTCCCTCTTTCCCTGCCTGCCTCCTTCCCTCCCTCTTTCCCTGCCTCCCTCCATGCCTCCCTCCCACACCAGTTTGGTTTGGCAAGTTAAATATTATGATAGATATCGTGAGGAGACATTCACATATGGGACTAATAGAACAAGAACCTGTCAATGTAAGTTAGTGTCCAGAATACGCCTGGGATATAGACGTATCTGGCAGCTTTCTCAAAACCCAAATGTCGAGTACGCAATGTGTCAACTTTGTGAAAGCGAAAACATGCACTCTCTTGAACATTATACAGTATTGTAGAATGTCCCATATTGACTGACTTTCGTCCTCCTGGGCTAAGGTATGCTGAACTGTGCAATTACTATATGAGTACTGGAACACTTGATGATATATTGGACTTGTACCCAAGATTAACCATGTAATGTATCAATTATACAATGTATGTATGTGATGTAACTATATAACCTGAGCTTGTAAAAGCACCTTAATCACCTTCAGTTATTAAGTGCTTAATTGCACACCAGTTTCTCTATCAGTTATCTCACCCTGTCAGAGTAAAAGAGTCAAAAGAGCGCTGTTTGTCGACATAATTGTATTTGTGCTGCTTTTTCATTTGTTTTTCATTTTTCATTTTCATTTCTTATGTTTTCATTTCTTGTTTTCATTCTACTCATTATGCTCAATTAGTATTAAGCTTGTCATTTAAGTTTATCATGCCCGAAACGCTTTGCGTAATAGTGGCTTTAGGCATTGTATGTACTAGCTCTACCTATAAGTCAACCAATCCTTGTAAAAATTTATTGTATGTATGTACCTTACCTAAATAAAATTGTATTGTATTGTATAAATGTATGTGAATGCAGGTGTGAGTATATAAGTATGTATATATGTATATGTACATATATGTGTGTAATTACCTAAGTGTAGTTACAGGATGAGAGCTACGCTCGTGGTGTCCCGTCTTCCTAGCACTCTTTGTCATATAACGCTTTGAAACTACTGACGGTCTTGGCCTCCACCACCTTCTCACTTAACTTGTTCCAACCGTCTACCACTCTATTTGCGACGGTGAATTTTCTTATATTTCTTCGGCATCTGTGTTTAGCTAGTTTAAATCTATGACCTCTTGTTCTTGAAGTTCCAGGTGTCAGGAAATCTTCCCTGTCGATTTTATCAATTCCTGTTACTATTTTGTATGTAGTGATCATATCACCTCTTTTTCTTCTGTCTTCTAGTTTTGGCATATTTAATGCCTCTAACCTCTCCTCGTAGCTCTTGCCCTTCAGTTCTGGGAGCCACTTAGTAGCATGTCTTTGCACCTTTTCCAGTTTGTTGATGTGCTTCTTAAGATATGGGCACCACACAACTGCTGCATATTCTAGCTTTGGCCTAACAAAAGTCGTGAACAATTTCTTTAGTATATCGCCATCCATGTATTTAAAAGCAATTCTGAAGTTAGAAAGCATAGCATAGGCTCCTTGCACAATATTCTTTATGTGGTCCTCAGGTGATAGTTTTCTATCTAGAACCACCCCTAGATCTCTTTCTTTATCAGAATCCTTTAAAGATTTCTCACATAATATATAGGTTGTGTGGGGTTTATGTTCTCCTATTCCACATTCCATAACATGGCATTTATTAACATTAAATTCCATTTGCCAAGTGGTGCTCCATATACTTATTTTGTCCAGGTCTTCTTGAAGGGCATGACAATCATCTAAATTTCTTATCCTTCCTATTATCTTAGCATCATCAGCAAACATGTTCATATAATTCTGTATACCAACTGGTAGATCATTTATGTAGACAATAAACATCACTGGTGCAAGAACTGAACCCTGTGGTACTCCACTTGTGACATTTCTCCATTCCGATACATTGCCTCTAATTACTGCCCTCATTTTTCTA